TAGTGTTCTAATACGACATTATTATATTAAAAACAGTGAGTTTAGTACTGTTTTCATATTAGTTGTGTGTACTATATCATCTGAAATCACATATGTAGATATGTGATCACATGAGGTAAAGACTTAACTGAAATATGTTAATTATAGTGTTGATAATGCCAAGATTGGAGAAACAAATTAAATCATACATCTCTTGGTGACTTAAGCATATATATTAAAATTATTTGGAAATATAGTTGAGCAGGGAAAGTATTTGTGATATATAAACCTAAGTGTATATGGCCCTAATTTTAAAAATTAATATATTTAGAGCTTTCTTAAATTTATTTTTTAAATGAGCAGAAAGTATAGAATTCTTATACACCCTCTTCTGCCCTTAGATGCTTAGATTAGCATTTTAAAATTTTTTTTCTATTTTTACTTTATGTGTGTGAATGTATTGCCTGCATGTTGTACAGTGCCCACAGAGATCAAAAGAGGGTGTCAGATCCCCTGGATCTGGAGTTGTGGAGTCACCATGTGGGTGCTGGGAATTGAACTCAGGTCCTCTGCAAGAGCAGCCAGTGCTCTTAACTGCAGAGTCATCTCTCCAGCCCCTATATTAACATTTTTCTCGAGCCAGTACCTGTACATTATTATTAGCAAAACCCTATAGTTTGTATTAGGTTCACTCTTTAAGAGTTTTTCCAAATCTGCAATGTCCTCTATCCATCAATATAGTTCCGCACACAGCACTGGCATTGCCCACAGATCCCCTACTCTACCTGTTTATCTATTTTTTCTTCTCTCCCAACCTGGGGAAAACATTAAATATGTTTACTGTATATGAAGTTTGGCTCTTTCCAAAATTTCACACTTTGGAATCACATAAAATGTAGCTTTTCCACATTCACTTCTTTCCCTTGGCAATATGCATTTAAGGGTCTCTGTATCTTTTGTGGCTCAGTATTGCTTTTCTTTATGTCCCATAATGCTTGTGCTGTGCAGATTTGCCACAGTTGGCTTATCTGTTTCCTTACTAATGTACATTTTAGTCACTTTAAACTTTTGGCAGTTACAAATAAAGCTTCTGTAAATAACTACAAATTTACGAGTAGACAGAAATTTTCATTTGCAAAAGTACTTATCATTGCTAGATCGTATGGAAAGACTACACTTAGGTTTCTTACAAACTGCCAGACTATTTTCAAAAAGTGACTGTGTGACTTTGAGATCCCACCAGCAGTGAGAGTTCTTGTTTCTCTCATCCTTACTAGTTTTTGACATCAGTGTTTCACATTTTAAACATTCTAGATTTATCATTTTTCTGTTGTCAAAGTACTAGCTGAACTTAATTTTTAGAAAGGCCTATACTATAATCTCAGAAGATACTACAGCAAATGCTGTAATTTCTTGATGGGATTGTAGATAATGTTTCTTTTCCTTTTTCCTTTGTACTTTTTAGTTAATAAATGTGGTTTTTATAATGAAAAACATTATATAAGTATATAAAGTAGGGATGTGTGTGTGTGTGTGTGTGTGTGTGTGTGTGTGTGTGTATGTGTACACATCCACGATGGGATTCAGAAACAGGACCTGTACATGCTGAGCTACATCCATAGTAAATTCTTTTGTAATTTTCAATTGTTCATCCTCTTTCCCCCAAATCAATAAACTTGAAATCATTGTCTAATAACCAATGTGATTTTGACAAAGTATGCTTATGTGTATATGTGAGGGCTTGTTTTAATGTCTTTTGAAAGATCTCCCTAAAATGTCTGTCCTAATCTCAACATGCAGCGCCTTGATTTACATGTTGCATGCTGTAACTCTCTTAATTACTCTAAAACTGCTCTCCCCGTGTCAGGGTATTTTAATGCTGAATCTCAAATCTTTTCAACAGTTTGGTTTTTTTTTAAACATCTCTTCCCTGGTCTGATGGCCATTTTTTAAAACTCTCAATGCTCCATTTCTCTCATGAGACCATTATAAAAACAAAAAGTAAGGTTTTCTTGACCTATCAAAGCTATTGTGTTTGGCATGAATCATGTTTTGCTAAACTAATACTGCAAAATCTGCCACCAACTTAGGAGTGATATGAGTCCACTGGACTTCAGGCTGTATGTGCAGACCGTGTTTCTCCACATGACTCCAGGTTCTAGACATACTATCTGGGGCAAGCTCTTCTCTTGGATGGTGGCAGATCAAGGTGTATAGGGGAAGCCAGGTATGGTGATATGCAATCCCAGCAGTATAGCAGCAGAGACAGGGATATCTTCACAAATTCAAGGCCAGCCTGGTCTGCATAGTGAGTTCTGGGTCACCCAGACCCTATAAAGTATGATTCTGTTTCAGTTGGGGAAAAAGTTTGATAGCTTTTTGTTTCAAAACCTCAGCTTTAAATGATAGACACTTCTCCTCAGTTGTCCCAAAATCAAAAGCAGCATCAGCCTATGTAGCTAGAGTTTCTAAGGACCTGGGATTTTGTTTAGTTGGGGTGATTTTTCTATATTTATTTTTCAGTGTATGTGTGTGAGAGAGGGGGGTGTGCATGCCACTTCTCTCACACCAAAAGGTAGAGTCTTGTTTCTGCTGCTAGGCTTTGTACTTCAGGCTAGCTGATCCACAGCTTTCAGGTGATTCTCCTGCCTTCCCCCCATCTCTGTAGAAGTACTGGAATTGCAGGTGAACATTAACACATCTGGCTTTTGTATATTTTTTTATTGAATTTTTGTAAATTTCTTTCAAAACATCTAGAAAACAGACTCATACAGGCTCCTAGAATATCTGGCTTTTCATGTGCATTCTGGGACCTGAACTCAGGTTGTGGGGTTTATCTGGTAGTGCCTTTACCTGCTGAGCCATTGCCCCAATCTCCACAGCCCAGGACTCAGTTCTTAATTGTATAGGTTATTTAAAGTTTTTTATTTATAAAGTTGTCTGTAGAAAAAAAATTTTTTTTTTATCTTTTTGAGACAGGGTCTCCCTGTAGCCCCAGCTGGCGTAGAACTCCCTGTGTAGACCAGGCTGGCCTTGAACTCACAGAGATCCACCTGCCTCTGCCTCCCGAGTGACAACCATGCATTCTTACGCAGGTATTTAATCTTCTACAAACTTTATCACATACGTGTGATAGTACAGGATTGAAAAAAAATGTCTTGTAATTCTCTCTTACTAATAACTAGCCTTTGCATAGTGTTTTATATTTAGTAGCATTTTAATTTGATACATAAATGAGTTAGATGATATAATCCACATTTTACACAAAAGATGGTAGAAAATTTTGTGACCTAAAAAGGTCATAACTGTTGAATGTGTTTGTATTCCAGATTTTCAGTCTTCAAATATTCCCTTTTTCTAATACTGGGTATTTCCTATTCTGCCATTTGTAAATTTATGTAATTACTAATATTCGTGTGCATTAACAAAGTCTATACAAATTTTATGATCTTCCAATCTTTATATTCAAATTAATGCAAGGGAGCTCTAAGAGGGACCCTAATCAGTGTTTTTAATGCATTATCATTCCAAGAACAGGAGACATTTTGTTTTCTGTGTGACTTAGCAGAGACACATTCAGCTTCTTGGTGCATTTTGACAGAATTTCTGTGGCAGACCAGTGTTTTTCCAATTGGCTATATAGTATAAGCCATCTCAGATGATAAGGATTTTTTTTTCTTGTAATGTAAGGTTCTACGTGCAAATTTATTTAGGCAAAAATGGGGACATTCTGTTGTACACAGTAATTTTAAAAACCAGTGTATCTACTCAATGTAATTAGAAACACAGTGTTATCATACCTTCATAAAGCATACTTAGCAGACAGAGTTTTTGTGTTCTAGAAGCTTTTTAATATATTAGAACTGTTGGGTTGTACGAAATAGTGTTCTGAAAAAAACAAGAGACAGTAATCTATGTTTTAAAATTTTTATTCTGCTACAATTTAATACCTGTATCTAATGTACTTTGATCATATTCCCTCACCCACATTATCCTCTTTTATCTAACTCTCCTCCTTCTTCTAAATCCCTTGTTCTCCAAAAATCTACATCTTTGTGTATGTGTGTGTGTGTGTGTGTCCCTGTGTGTCCCTCTACATGTAATTAGAATTGCTTGCATGAGCTTGAGTGGGTTGCTATATTTACTTGAGCGAGGATAACTTAACAGAGGCTTACCACTGCACATACAACTCTACCTCTTCCAACATCCATTAATTGCCAAGAAACAGGGTCTCATGAATCCCTCCTTCATTCATGATGGAGTGTGATGGGCCCAGTCTTGTGCTTCATGGGTACAATCACCCTGTCATGTCCAGAAGCCAGCACTTCACAGAGCTCTTCCCCATCCACCTCTCAAATACTGACCCCTCTTCTGAGAGGATCCCTGGACCTTAGGGTAGGATGTGTGGAGAGGTGGGGGAGGGAGGAAGAGAGGGAGAGGGAGAGAGAGAGAGAGAGGTCCCACGTAGGGTTGAGCACTCATAGTCACTTATTCTCAGCACTTTCACTGGTTATGACTATTTCCCACTGCAAACAGGTGTTTCTCTGATGAAAGCTGAGAACAACACTAATCTGTGGGTAACAATCCATGTTTTGCGTTGACTAATATACCCTGTTTGTTTCCCTCATCTTTTTCTCTTGCAACAAGACCTTTTAAAATGTAATAAAGATCTTATTTTTGATCTATGAATTGGATTGCTACTTGTTTTCAGAGACATCATTCCATTTTCTCCAGTCTGGATCACCCCGCCTCCTTGTCTTTGGTCCTTCTTCCATTTTTCTGTTTTCTTTCATAGTGTGCAGAACTTACTCTTTTCCTCGTCACATCTCCTTTTTCGTTCTGACTTACCCTTCTAGATATCATCAGGTTAACTTTAAAGCCAGGTTTTCTCAAGAACTCTTACTGTTAGGTTTTGTTTTTGTTTTTTCATTTTTTTCTTTTGCCATTGCTGTGGAGAAAGGTAATTTTATTAGTTTTAATAAAGTTAGTATATTTAATGAATATTTTTCCCTCTTTTAAAGACTGTGAACCAGAAGAGCTGACTGACTGGTCTATGGATGAAAAATGTTCATTTTGTAACCTACAGAGAGAAGCAGTCAGTGTAAGTTTTAGTGCCATGAAATTATTTTTAAATTAATTGCACAGTTGTTAACACAGTTCCTTTCTTCGTTTTTTAACTTAATTTGTTCTGATAATTTGTGACTCCATAAGTAAAATTTCAAATATTTGATTTTGGTAAATGAAAATATTTTAAAGCCTTATGTTGAAACATTCAGCATTTAGTTTAGCTTAAAAAGCTCATCTTTTGTTTTGTTTTGTTTTGTTTTGTTTTGTTTTGTTTTGTTTTGTTTTGGTTGGTTGGTTGGTTGGTTGGTTGGTTGGTTGGTTGGTTGGTTGGTTGGTTTTCCTCCTTCACATTTATTTTTATTACACCCTGACTCATGAACTTCACTTTAGGTCAGGTTGGTATTTTGGTATCCAAAGGTGAGCTTGGGAGACTTAGTTTGGTCTAAGACCACTCTGCTATCTGGCTTTTAGCAATCAGTACTGTGGATAATGCACTGCTATTTTTAAGCCTTTTGCTACTTTTGAAATCTTTTGACTATCAGAAATACTTCCTGTGTTAATGATGAAATATAGGCTTACTATATATAGGACATGAACCTGTGTAACCAGCATCTTCTTGTTTGGTGGCAAATCCTGATTATTTATCTGTTGTCATGAGGAAAGCTGAGAAGAATTTGAGACCCTTTTAAGCATATCTGCTGTGTTGTTAAGCTCTCTAACAAGATGCTCTACTGACATGCTGCATGATACAATTTTCAGCGCTCTCTCTCTCTCTCTCTCTCTCTCCCTCTCCCTTACCACCACGGAGTAGTTAAAATCTACTATTTTGTAGCTGTCAAAGTAGCCTCAGGTCCATAATTTCTAGTCAGACCACTACTATAGTTTTGGCAAGGAGTAAGGCTATTTTGACCTTCTGTTAGATACACATTTGTTTTTGCCTGAATCCTATCCCAGATTTTATACTCTTGTTGTAATTTGATATTCTGTAAAAGGCAGAACAACTTAACATTGAGAGAATTTTTTGCCATTTTTATTCGAATTTTATGTTTAAGTAAAAAGTAATTAGATATGTTACTTTCTTATAATTTTAGGATTGTATACCATCCCTTGATTCTTCACAGTCAACGCCAACAGAGGATCTGTCATCTCAGGGCCAGTCCAACACTGATAAGATTGAATGCCAAGCAGAAAATTACCTAAATGCGCTCTTTCGAAAGAAAGGTAATGCTGGTATATGCTTTGTCATTTAAATTTTGCAATATAGATCTAAAATGTTTACATTTTCTCTGAAAGAGGTTTTTATATGTCATATCTTGGCTTTATTCTGAACTGTTTCTTTCTCTGTCCTTATAGAACCATCAGGATGCTCAGTCTCCTCTTGTGCTAGACTGGGTTAGGCATTCCTTTTCGACATCCTGTTCTCAAATTGCTCCTTTGTAGGCACTGTTCAAAATATTTTTATGCTCTGGCTTTCCTTGTTTTATTCCTGTTCTCAATACTTCAGAAGTTGTTGAATGTTCGAGAATTTATAGATTTTATTGCAAATATACCCTTAACAATGTATCACCTAAGTCATTTGCCAGTTAGGTATACAATATATTTGCTAGCATACAATTTTAGTATTTGTTGGTGTGAATATACGTATTTGACATTAAAAAGACGCTCTTTTGTATTCGTCTGGCTAAACTAGTTCAAACAAATAGGTCTTGCTTTACTTGTTCCCTTAAGACACACCTATCAGGCAAAGTAGCTTTTATATTTTCAGTATTTGGGAAAAGTATAAAGTCTTCCACTCTTTGGCCATTCCCATGATTAATTGAGTGTCTTTCCCTCCTGTTCCCACTCATAGGGATATTTGGAGTGATGAAGATATGTGTGGGGGTATGGTGGGGTTTTTCTAACCCTCAACTTCTAGGGATTGAGAAAGCACTGCTATATTTTGTTTTTAAATATCAATTTCAGAATGTATTTTCTATTAAATTGATAACTTCATGTTTAGTCAGTTAAAGTACTGTTCACCTTGGAGCCTTTTATTTAGTTACTAACTTTTAGAAGTTCTCTCATGTGTTCAAATATGAGTATCCTGATTAGCAAAAATCATTAATATAATTCAAAGGCCTAAAAAACTTTTTTTTTAGTTGGAACAACTAAAAAGTTTCCCTTATGTGTTACTGAAAAGAATAAGCTACTTGTGTGTGACACTTAATCATCAGATTTGTGTCACTAAGAGAATTAAAAGAAAGTAACATACACAATATGGTTTCATTTACTTTTGGATTGATTACTCCTTATTCTTCCTTTGACCATTTGAGTCAATGTTATATAGTAAGTAGAATTGTCAGTATTATTAACTTTTAATTTTTGATAGTATGGAGTTAGCCTATGCTCCATTGCCTCTTTAAGAGTAATCAGTAAAAACTTGGTACTATTTCAGCTGATTCAAGCATCTGGGTCTCCAAGAGGTCTCCTACCAATGGTTGGGTGAGTGTTCTTGGATATTTAGTGACCTCTCCATTTGGAAATTTCTTGGTTTTTCTTCAAGATCCTTTGAAAGATTGAGAAGATTGTAAAGTAAAGATTATTAGCATAATACTTTGCCTTATTTTAGGTTTTTGATATTTCCTTTACTTATAGTGCATCACTATTTTCTGGATTTAGTTAAGCAGAGTGTTTCTGTTCCTCTATTAAGGTTTTGTTGTTGTTGGTGGTGGTGTTCGATTATTTTCCTTCAATAGATTCATTTAGAGATTCTAGTATGGTCTGACTAGAGTATTAGAAGATAGTATCTTTGAATTGGTCTGAACCCTGTTAAATGGTTAGTTTATGGCTTGGCTTTTTTTTTTTTTTTTAAATTAACTCTACTTCAAGGTAAAAGGCAAGAAATAAAATTTTAAAGACAGGAAATACGTGAGTCTTTATAGTAGCAAATAAGATGTTATTGAAGCATTTTGTTAGTGAAGCTTCTGTTTTCTGAAATTTTCCCTAATTTGATCATGCTTAGAAATTCTAAATTTTAACAGCAGTATCGGTGCTTTGCTACTTAGTCTGAAGAACAGATTGTATTTATCATTGTGTCAAACTTAAAGAAATCTCTTAATATCCTATTGTGGTTTCTTTATTATGTTTCATAACTTAGAATTTGGGGGATTGTTGAGATTAATGTCATCAAATACGATTGATCACTAAGGCCCTTTTTTTATGTCTGTGTTAGTTTTGTTGTTGCAGTAACCGAACGACGTAAGGATAGAAAGGCTTATTTTGGCTCAGTCTCCATAGATTTCACTCCTTCATAGTGGGAAAGGCATGGATGCTAGAGCAGCTCCCTCTGTACAGTGAAGACCATGTGACAAAGTTTCCATGGAGCTAGGCCCAGAAGCAGAGTGTGGGGCCACAGGAGTCTAGGCTTAACCCTTACTAATTACCCATTTCCATCAGTCTGCCTCTAAATGTTCTACAACTTCCTAAAACAGTGCCACCTGCCAGGGACCAGATGTTAAAGTACTCAAGTATTTGAGAATCATTTCAGTTTCAGGCCACTACAGTGCTTTACTTCATTTAATTCTAAAACAATATTAAAATAGGTTCTGTTACTACCATGTTAGCAGTCAGGAACAGTGAAGCTCAAAGTTAAATAGCATGTCCTAGTTCTATGTTGTAAACAATAAGAAAAAAAGGCCAAATTCAAGAAGACATGAGTAAGATGAAGGGTGTTCCTTGTGGCCTCAATCTTTTTAAAACACCAAGTGGAAAGACTTCATATCCTTGGCTATTTAGAAACCTGTATTAGAATTCTTTTATTTGAATTGGGTAGGCTAGAGGAGAATTATGAGAAATGTTGTGTATTTGCTGTAGGTTTCTATTCTTCTCTGGTAGAACTATTATATATCTAATACACTTTTGATCTTCCTTTTTTGGCGATTTGTTCCCTTACGTAGGAATGCCTTGCTTGAATTAAATTTGGATTAGACAATCAGTTATAATTAGAAGCAAGTGAAAAAAAAAGGTGCTTATTCAAGCCTGAAGACATAGAATGGGAAAGGAATGCTCTAGCTCAAATGTGAACTTTTAACTAGTTTTTCAAATGAATTCCTTCTAGAGTTTAACCATAAAATCGTTATAATAAAATGAAATCTTATGTTAACAGATTTTGTTGTGTTTACTACAGAACCCAGGAACAGTACCCACCATATCTTAGGTCCTTAGTAAATAATTTTCTGAATTCCATCATTGAGACAGACTTTTGCTATGTTGCCCAGGTTGGTCTGGAACTCAACAGTCCTTTCTTGGCCTCTCTAGAACTAACTTGGGTTACAAGCATATACCAACTGTAAATACTTTTCTTTTTATATTTTATTCATTATATGTATTTTATGTGTATAAGTGCATTGCCTGCATGTATGTAAGTGCACCTGTGTCATTCAATGCCCACAGAGATCAGAAGAAGGCTTTGGGTCCCCCTGGAACTAGAGTTACAGTCATCAGCCACTATGTAGGTGATGGGAACCAAACCTGGGTCTTCTACAAGAGCAGTCAGTGCTGTTAACTGCTGAGCCATCTCTCCAGCCCCACCCCCATAGTGGATCTTGATTTTCCACCATTTGAAAAGAAGTGAAAGTCAAAGGTCACCATGATGTACTGAAGTGACAGCCAGCAGGTCCCATCTCCCTAGGTAGGTTCATAAGAGGAAGCCTTCCTCCTCTTAAGCCTTATCTGGTCACATGAGGAAATGAACCCTGCAAGCAGGAAAAAAAAAAAAAAAGTGTGTGTATAAGTGTTTTGCCTGTATGTAATAAAAATGGATCCATGTCGTGCAATTCCCACTGAGGCCAGAAGAGTGTTGAATCCTCTGGAACTGGAGTTATGGAAAGTTCTTAGCTACCACATGGGTGCTGGGAACCAAACCCTGGTCCTCTTCAAGAACAGCAGGCGTTCTTAACTGCTGAGCCATCTCTCCAGCCCCTACATATTTCTTCAATAAGTGAGTTAATAAGAAAAATCATACCCAGTTGTCTTTGAGTTTCTTTAGGTATTCAGTGGTATTAATATTCCATTTGTCCTATTTAAAGAAGTAAATTCTTTAGCATATACATATAGTTTACTTTCACTGTTTTGTAGTTAAGTATTGCTATGTGTAATATGAATAGCTTTCAGTAGTTTTCATTGTGTTCTGTTTTTGTAGTGCTAGGGTACAAACCTAGGACCCAGCTTATGCTTGGCAGGTAGTCCACCACTGAGTTATATCCCTAACCCTTAACCAGTTTTTTAAAAGATGTGTAAACATAGTCCCATAGATATAAAAGGCTTTGTCCAGTGTTATCATGTAAACTAATCTGTGTCTTGGATTTTTTTGCTTCATGTCTTTGCTCACCTAAATATGTAAAGTTGCTGCCTTATGATTCAGGAATATGCCGCTCTCATTTTGAAACTAGAAAATATGACTGAACTTAGCTAAATTGGACAGAGAGTATATATAAAGTAGGAGAATAACTTGTACTGATAAATATAATAAAATGAAAATATCCCTCATCAAAATTTTTTCCTGCTTTAATTTCTTCTTTCATTCATGTAACCTAGTAATCATATAACTGCTATTTTGGTATGGCATGTAATCCCTCCAAAAAATTATTTTGTTTTTGATGGATTTGATAGTTACTTGAAAGTGTTTATTGACTCACCATTTCCCCTTAAATTAATTGATAGCTATAGTTTACATGAAAGTTTTACATGCCTTTATATTTAAACTCTCAAAGCTCTCTATACCGTATCATGAGCTAAATACTAATTCAGCTCACTAACCAATGGGTTCTGACTGATATAAAGTTACATTATGCGGTTTCTTTTTAGAAACAGGTTATTTAGTTCTTTATATACTTATACTGCTTTTTTCTAAATGCAAGCATCTGTATGTGACTGTAAACTTGACATGATTCATTCAGGCCGTAGCTTTTCTTTGCATAGGGTTCCTTTGTGCTATCATTGTGTCATACTTTGCATTTCCTTTATATGGTCTGCACTTTGATTTTCAAGAGACTGTAGGTTACTGCCGTGAAATAATCCATGTAACATTATTCATATTCAGAGATATTCACAAAAAAAACTTTAATCTTATTTTAATTATACCTGTAGGTACCATTCTAAAGTTGTCAGGTGACATGTGTATCTCTGTATGTGTTTATAACAGTGCTCTCAGAGTCCCTGAAAAGGAATATAAAGTGCTAAAA